AGGGATGCGCTTACCCTCCACCAGATGGACCCCATCAGCCTCTCCCCCCACTCCCGCCCCCCGCTTTAATAACTCGAGCCACAGTTCATCTTCTCCCTTCCTTCACTGCACCACTTTTCAGGGAGCAGTACATATAACACCAGGGAGCAGGAACGTTTGTTTTTGAAGTTCAAAAACCCAGATTGACACCTGTCTCTGCCCCCAGTTGCCCAAATGGCTTCGGGCAAAGTATTTGTCCTTTTCTGACCTCAGTTTCTTCATCTATGGAAAGGCGGTTATTAATCTTTCCTACCTCACAGGGTGGCAGGGAGACGCCAGTGAGGCCTGGCTCGGGGCAGGCATGTAGTGAGCCTTCCCAGATCGGCATCCTTTTCTCTACTCCTCATTCCTCCCTAAAGCCACTGTCATCTGCTGTTAGACTACATGCAGCAACACTGCTTCAGCAAGAATCATAAATGACCTTTTCGTCTTTAGTTCTTGAAGTATTTGGCACCACAAACCTATCCCCCATCTCTTAAAATGTGTCTTCTCGCCGGCGTCTACACTCCTCTTACCTGGTTCTGCCTCCCCTAATGTTGTAGCCCTGATACGTTTAAGGTCTTGCTTATTGTTTACTTTTGACACTGCTGTTGATTTTCCTGGATACCATACCCTACCTACCCCCACACATACAGGTCCCCATCTGCTGCCTATATCGGCATGCGCCCCAGATCTGAGTGTCTCTCTCGACACATCTCTTACCCCGGTAGAGCCATAGGCCCAGCTGCCTGTCACACATCATCTAGTAAGTGACCTGTGTGTGTCTCAAACTCATCATATCTGAGACTTTGTGTTACTTAACTCAGAAAAGGTAAACACACAGTTGAATTCATTTAGTTTCAAAACCTGTTATAACGAAACATTCTTTTTCCATACACAGATACGCTGTTTAACTTACCGTATTTGCCGGCGTATAAGACGATTTTTTGGCCCTGAAAAATATGCCTCCAAGTGGGGGGTCGTCTTATACGCCAGGTACACTTCANATAGGTGTCCACTTTCATTCTTTTGCATGAAGATACCCAGTTTTCCCAGCACCATTTATTGAAAAGACTGTCCTTTCCCCGCTGTATATCCGTGGCTCCTTTGCCAATAGTAGTTGACCATATCTACATGGGTTTATTTCTGGGCTCTCGATTCTGCCCGTTGGTCTCTGTGCCTGGTTTTATGCCAGCACAGCATGGTGACTATAATAACTAACAGTACTGTGTTGTATGCTTGAAAGTTGCTCAGAGAGATCTCAGAAATCCTCACCACACACGCACAGAAAGGAACTGAATTGATGGACGTGCTAACTAACCTTATTGTGATTATTTTAACCACATATACACATATCAAATCATCACATCCTGCACCTTAAACTTCCAGTGTTATATGTCAGTTTTATCTAAGTAAACTAGAGTGGGGAAAAAAACTATCAACTGTAGAAAGACGAGTTTAAATTGTGTATTTTCATCACTAACATTTGCCTAGCGTTGCATTGTTATTATTAAGCCTTCGGAATTTTAGTATGTTAGATTCAGTTATAGTGAGAAAATGGTTTCAATTTGATTCTCTTGCAGTAAAACAAAAACCACCATTATATAGCTCATTGCTTTGCTGTAAGTGATTTCAAATGGAATAGATGTCATTTCCATATTACTAAATGATTTTATTCTTATCTCCTTTTTTTAAAACTATAAACCCGTTCTTTCTAATGTTAGCCAACCTTTTTTGTAAAGAATTGAATGACTTGCTCTATACCTTTTTTGATGAACTCATTCAAGGTTCAGCCTGGAGAGGGAAACAGAGCTGCTTTCAACGACATGAGAGCCTTATCTGGCGGCGAGCGTTCCTTCTCCACGGTTTGCTTCATTCTCTCTCTCTGGTCCATTGCTGAGTCTCCTTTCAGATGCCTGGACGAGTTTGATGTCTACATGGTAGGGTTAAATTTTAAATCCTGTCATTTTGGGGGGTGGGGAGATGGATGTATATTTTGAAAGGAAGCAATTCTTCTGTAGCTTTACCCATAACAGAAAAGATCCTGCCCGGCACTTGAATCTGTGCTGAGCGGGGAAGGAGTCAAGAGTTCTAGTTCTCGCCCTTGCTCCCTACCGTGCCGCACCTGCGAGACCTTGGATTTCATTCTC